CCCCCCCCCCCCCCAGCGCAGCGCACCCTTCATGCGACAAGCCGAATACCTCACGGTGCTTCGCGCTTGGTTAAGAGCCTGGTCCGGTGAGAACCCGGCGTGCTCCATCCCGGCTTTGTAGGGATGCGAGCTCAATGGTCTAACGACTACGGCATGCACCACTATGAGTACAACCCCCCCCCACCCAATTACCCACGCCACCCACCTCTCTGAGCAGTGTGAAGTGCGGCTCGTGCGTCACCAGTCCTAGCAGGATGAGGTCCGCGTCCTGGCCGTACATGCAATGCCTGAAACAACCGATCATCAGACGGAGAAGGAAGCCATTGACGACTATCGTTAAGACGGAAAGTTCGACGAATCAATCGACGCATTGTACAAGCAACGCTGAACCAACCTACCCAATACATTATCATTAGACGGATACATGCAATGCCTTAAAGAAGCAGTCGACGACTATATCGTTAAGACGGAAAATTCGACGAATCAATCGACGCACTGTACAAGCAACGCTGAACCAACCTACCCAATACATTACTACTAATTTAGACGGATAGCTCGACGAATCAATCGACGCACATGCAACGGCCGAAGGAATCATCAGACGAATCTTCTACATGATCTCACCTAGTGTTCGGCGGCAATCTCCCCGCCGACCTTTCATCCCGGATGTACGCCATAATCTTGTGCTCCCCTTCTCCGGGCACCTGGGACAACAAAGCGAGGGAGCACATACACGGCGTAAGGCCCTGCGTATGAGTCTGGGGCAAATACGATCGGATCTTTTTTTCGTGCTTCGGAGTTCTTTTCTCTGTAAGGCGCACCGAGTCTCTCTTTCCGCGAGCATCCGTCTCAGGGGCAGCACGCACAGGAGGCCCATCGGCACATTATGCCCGCGGACCACACACACCGTCGAATCAAAGTGACAAGCAGACAGCCCCCGCACTAGGGTCGAGGCTGCGCTCCTTGGTTCCCGGGGTTTGGCTACAGATAGCCTTCTCCGGGTAAGTGAGACATCGCACACGCCGCGACAAACCACACGCCCGAATACTGCACACGTATCCTCAAGTCGATGGCCTGCTGCTGTCTTGCCCCGCTCACGGCGGTTAGTTGGGTGTGATATGTTGTACATCGCTTCGGCAGCGGAACGGCTGTCGTACACCCCACGCACACCACCGTGAACGTCACGACCGCTGCGAACATCGGGCGTGGTATCTGAGTTGGGTGTGTTATCTCGTGTAGCACTTCGACAGCCGTAATTCTACACTTTTTTTGCACCGCCCTGTCTCACCTCGTGCCCGGAGAACGTCACCGTAAGAGCTTTCCACAAAGGGTCTTCGGTGATCTTCTTCTGAACGAAGTACCTTGAGAACAGTTTAGAACGACCAAGAATAAACAGAAATGTGACGGTCGAAAAAATACACAGGCTGTATTGTATCTACTAGCGTTGCCTTGCCTTGTGCTATCATACAATACACAACTCAACAATAGTGCCACGAAAACGGAATCGATGCCGAGCGCGTGAGAACAGAGCAGCAGCAGCAGCAGCAGCAACTATTTATCTATGATCGACGCCCAAATCCACCCAAACATGACGCCCTTCGA